GACACTGCAAGACGAAGGTTCCAAGGGTTGTGTCTGGGACCGGAGATATTGGCTAGTGTCATTCGGTTGCACAATCTAAGTAGTTTACATGCCAGAGGCTGTGTGTGATCAGCCCAGGAGTGGGGGTTCTCACAGCAGAGCTGGGTAAGGCTGGCTCCCAGAGTCAAGGATTGGAGTGACCAGCAGATCACCGGTCCAGATAACACCAGGGGAATGTCACAGTCCCCCCTGGAAGTCTAATGCTGCTGACCCTCCTAGGGCCCTGGGTCAGAGCCTGGTGAAGTGGGTGGGCCTGGGCTCCCCTACCACTGCCCCATGACTGAGTGGATGCTAATCACTAGGCATTCCAGCCCACTGGGCATTACACCTTTCCATTCCTTCCTCCTCTGAGAATTATTATACTGGATGCTCATGATAAGCAGAAACCTAACAACTCTTATTTATCAGAAGTTACAGGTAAAAACCTGGTGAAATGTGCTATATAATACTACCTAGTTCTTATCTTCAAGACTTTTGAACTCAGAACACTCTTTAATGAGTGCCTTTATGAGACAATATTTAGGGTCATTTAAATCTGGGGAACTTGTCTTACTAGTACTTCCCTCGTGTGGGATTTATGAGTGCCTCCAAACCCATGCATGCCTACAGCCACACTTTCAGAGCCTAACAATAAAGAAATTAAAAGGCTGGGATGTCTCGCAGCTAACAGAAACTTAAATAAGAATGGCCAGACTGTGTCAGACAAATGGTCCATCTAGCCCAGTATCCTATCTTCCGACAATGGCTCGGGCCAGATGCTTCCGAGAGAATGAACGGAACAGGGCAATTTTTTAGTGATCCACCCGTCGTCCAGTCCCAGCTTCTGGCAATCAGAGGTTTAGGGATACCCAGAGCGTGGGGTTGCATCCCTGCCCATCTTGGCTAAGAGCCACTGATGGACCTATCCTCCATGAACATATCTAATTATTTTTTTAACTCACTCACACTTTTGGCATTCACGACATTCCCTGCACGAGTTCCACAGATTGACTGTGTATTGTGTGAAGTACTTCCTTTTGTTTGCTTCAAACCTGCTGCCTATTAATTTCACTGGGTGACCCCTAGGTTCTTTTGTTATGTGAAGGGGTAAACAACACTTCCCTATTCAGTTTCTCCAAATCATTCATGATTTTATAGACGTTTATCATATCCCACCTTAGTCATCTCTTTTCCAAGATGAACAGTCCTATTCTTATTAATCTGTCCTCATACAGAAGCTGTTCCATAACCCAGGAAACAGCTTTTTTGCTCATAGCACCAAGGACACCCTTTTAGCCTGTTCCCTGACCCAAAATCCTCTTTCCCAGTGTTTTCCAAGGTCAGCAATCACACTTTCAGCTGCTCCTTCAGGCTGTCTGCCTCTCTCTCAGGGTATGTCTACACTACAGTAGCACAGCTCTGGCACTTCAGGACCGTTGTTTGAATGCTTCCTACATCGACAGAAGGGGTTTTTCCATTGAGGTAGGTAATCCACTTCTGTGAGAAGCTAGGTCTTCTGTCAACCTAGCCACATCAATGCCGGGGGTTCAGTAAACCTAAGTACGGTGCTTAGGGTGTGAAATTTTTCAGAGCTCTGAGCAATCTGGTTAGGTTGACCTAAGATTTAAGTGTAGACCAGGCTTCAGTCTGTCCTTGTCTGATCTCAGTTTGCGTGATCTCTTTCTCGCTTACACACACACATGCACAAAACAATACTCAGCCAAAAACTGCTGAGTGGTTTCACACACACCTTTAGTCTTTGGTGGGGCTCAGGCTTAGAGTTATGTTAACTGAAGGGTTAACTAACAGTGTTTAGGCCCTGACCCAGAGCCCATTAAAGTTCATGGAAGAACTTCTGTTGACTCCAGGGCCCCATGACTAAGATTTTCAAAGGTGAGTAGTGATTTGGGGTACCCAACTTGAGACACCTCCAGGGCCTGATTTTCAGAAGGTGAGTCCTCAGCACTTCCTGAACATCAGGACCCTTTAAGGCATCACAAGCTGGATACCCCAAAACCACTAGTCAGCTTGGCCCAACATCCTTACTCCCATATTCGTAACTTCACCACGGACCCACACGATGACAGGAGAAGAAAGGTTCCTCTCCTACCATCAATGTTTGTTGACAAGAGAGGCTAATAAGTGATTCCATAAAAGGGAAGTGTGGTTCATAAGGGATCAAAGCACTCACTCAAATACTCTTTTGATATTGTTCAAGCCAGACACCGCATTGTGTTGCAGCGCTGACAGGAAGCTGAAAGCCAAGATGTGGTTGTGCTTGACTTTATTAAAGTTATACCCCTGAAGGCTTTGGCCCATGCAGGTTGACACTGAGTTCCCATTACACTTTTTGCAAGAGTAGGAAAACTGTGCAGCAAAGACTGAATTAGGCAAATAATGGATTTTTTTGGTTCTCCAGCAATTCTGAAAAATTGAAACATTTGTTTTGAGTCAAAAACCAAAACTGAATTTTTTCTATACTTCTGATGAGAAAATAGTCAAAACAATATTTCTGGTCAAACAAAATGGTTTGTTTGAACCAAAATGAAATATTTTGTTTCAGTTTTAAGCAGTTTTAACACATTTTAATTGTATTTAATAAATGTGAAGGAAATTTCAAAACAAAAAGTTGTTTTAAACCAAAAAATTGAAATGTTACTTTTTGGATTTTTTTTGTTTTGTTGTTGTTTGGGGGGTGGGCTGTTTTGTTTGAACATGAACAATTCAGCCAAACCAACACAAATCTGTGAAACTTTTTGATGTCTCTGAATCTGCATTTTTTGCCCATAAACATTTCGGCTGAACGATTTTGCCCAGCTCTAGCTGGACACAGGATTGCCATTCCCAACCATAGAAAAATTTTCATTCAGGTCCCCCCAAATCATGAGACGTTTAAAAAAATATTGGGTTATTTTTACTGATTGCTTCTTTCTGCATTCAGACACAGAGGACTTTGAACATTCCTTATAAAGAAACAAAACTGCATCAAAGAAACATCTGACTACTACCAATTTCTACTCCCAACTGGAACACCCACAGGGCTACAAACTTTGACTAGCCACTTGGCATGAAAAGAGACTGTCACTGCTTCTGTGCTATGAACTGAAGGGATCTGTCACATGCAAGCAAATGGCTAGGACTAAATGAATTTAATCAGGAGATCTTCAATGATCTGAAATACAAAAAAGAGTCCTACAAAATGTGGAAACTAGGTCAAATTACAAAGGCAGAATATAAACAAAGAACACATGTATGTAGGGACAAAATTAAAAAGGCCAAGGCACAAAATGAAATTAAACTAGCTAGAGACATAAAGGGTAACAAGAAAACATTCTGAAAATACATTAGAAGCAAGAGGAAGATCAAGGACAGGGTTGGCCTGTTACTCAATGGAGGGGGGCAGGGAACAATAACAGAAGATGTGGAAATGACTTTTGTTTCAGTTTTCACCAAAAAAAAGTTAGTAGCGATTGGAGGTCTAAAATAGTCAATGTCACTGAAAATGTGATAGGAAAAGAACAAGTTAAATATATTAGAGAAAGAACAAGTTTAAAATTATTTAGACAAGTTAGATGTCTTCAGGTCAGCAGGACCTGATATAATACATCCTAGAATACTGAAGAAGATATCTGAGCCATTAGCGATTATCATTGAAAAGTCATGGAAATACAGGAGCGATTCCAGAGAAATAAGGAAAACCCAGGGAATTACAGGCCCATCAGGTTACTTCAGTAATCGGAAAGATAATGGAGCAATCAATTTGCGAAAACTTAGAAGAGCACCCCAGCCCCACAGCACTGGGCGGGATGGAGGCACAGCATTAGCCTCCTGGAGTCCGGGGACGCGGGCCAGCCCCCTCTAACCCTAGCCCCAGCCCCAGCGCTGCCATGGGGGAACAGCATGGGCAGTGAGCAGGAGAGGACCTGCGGGCAGAGCATGGGCGAGGCCATGTAGGGCTGTTTGGGGAAGCTCTGCCTCCCCTGGCCTGCAATACCCACCACCCATGAGCCTAGCCCGGCTGAGTCTGGTGCCTGACCCTGAGCACGGGCAGAGCGTGACTAGGAGGCGCTCGCTGATTCCCAGGCTCACAGCGTGGCCTCTCACTGGGGCCATTCCTGGTCAGGTTCCCGGTGATGTTGGGGGGCCCGGGCAGGTCTGTAACACAAACCAGACAGGGGGTTTCAGTGGGGTTGGACAGCACCGGAGGGGGAAGGTCACTAGTGATCACTGAGCCGAGACGTGGACCCTCGCTGTGAGCTCAGCTGGGGGATGAAAAAGTCCCTGAAGTGACACAAGACCCGTGGGCGGGGAAGAGAAGCGACAGACCAGACTGAGCCCCACCCAAGAGGCGCCCAATATAACCCAGGGGCCAGTTTAGGGCCGCGCCGGGGAACCAGAACCGTGGGAAATGGAAACCCAAGGGACCAAAACTGGTTGGTCAAAATTGGGCCTAATTGGCAGAGTCACTAAAGAGGGGCCGGGCTGCTCCGGCCTGGGTACTTGAGCAAGCGTAACCAGTGCCACTATCTGCCTGGCACCTGGGCATTCAGCGGCCTGCTCCCCAAATGTGTCCTCCCCAGGGCGGGACAGAGCCAGGGGTCTAAATAACCCCACTCCCACCCCCACCCCAGACCCAGCCACCACCAGGGACATCAGAGACCCCCGTCATGGGTCCTTTGCCTCCCCTCTCAGTTCGTCTCTCCCCAGCCCTCTCCTTTTGTCCTATGGCTTAGCTGCCAGGCCTGGATATTTTGCAGTCTGGCTGCGCCTAGAGCGGCGGCTAAAAGTAACATGCAGAACAGCCAAATACTGATACTGGCTGGCTAAGCCTGGCAGGGTCCATCCACGCTGCCCTCAAAGCCCCACGGCACCGAGCCTCAGAGCCTGGGTCCGTTGTGTCAGGCTCGCGGAACTCGGGCTGCGGGTCTTTGATTGCAGTGCGGACATTTCCTCCGAGGTCTGTGTAGACGTTTGGGGTTGAGCTGGGGCCTGACTTCAGACATGGGCTGGGGACTGCGGGGCAGGTTCCTTCTAAATCTCCCGCCGGCTGAACGGAACACGGGCCATCCTTACACTGATGCCTGATTTGATCCTTCACCTTGCAAAGGCAGCCACTGATTTTCCCTCTCCCCTGGATCTACAGCGCGAGGGTCACAGCTCATTTAATGCGGGTTTGCCCTGCGGCAGGGCGGGCTGAGGTATCTGGGCACTGAGCCTGGAGCATGTTTAGTGCCGGACAGTGACTGGGTCCCATTCACACTCTGCCCCATATAGAGCATCCACCGATCCTGGCAGAAAGGGGAGGGGGTGGAGAAGACGTGGAGGGACAGCCTGGGGGAATCTCAGGGGGAACTGGGGTGGCTGGTGTGAGGGGAAATCCCAAGAAGGGGGGATTGGAATGAGGGCTGTGGATAGCAGCACAGGAGGATTC